TAGTGGCTAAGGTTTTAGAATCTATTCTAATATATATTCCCTGGGGTACTTCTTTATTTAAGGAAGTCTTTTAATTTAGCTTAATAATATAAGGTATTTATAGAGTTTTATATATCTTTTAAAGAATTATAGTTCTTCTATCTTATAAGGTATTTTATTTTATTATTTTCTCTTTTTATATTAAGGATTATATTAACTATAAACTCTTAATTATTCTTAATTTCTATTTCTAGTTGTTATTCTATATCTTAATATAAATAATATTTACTGCTAATTTAAGTAATAAGATATAAAAGATTAGATAGAGCTTAACCTTTAGTAGTAAGTTAATTTGTAGTTATTTTCTAAGATTTTTTCCAAAATTTTATAAATCTAATAAATTTAAATTCCAATTTATTATTTAGTCTTTTTATTATAATATTTTTTATTATAAGGTAAATTATATTTCTTTTTAGAAATTAGTTTCTTTAATTTTTTCTAGTTATAATATTTTTTTATTTATTTTCTAATAAATTCCAGTTTTATCTTTATTTCTTTATATAGCTATTATAGCTAGTTAATATTAAGAATTGCCTTAATATTTAAGAATCCTTTTTATAATAATCTATAAATATTAGGGATAAATTTAAAATTAGTATAAGCTAATATAAGCTTTATTATTCCTAAGGTAGATATATTATAGCTAGTTATACTATAAGTAGCTTCTAAATCTAGTTATTTTACTTATAATTAATATAATATTATAGATATTATTTAATTATTTAATTAAGTCTTTCTATTTATCTATTTACTTAGAGCCTCCAAGTTATTATAAGCTTATAATTTAATCCTATTTAAGCTATTAGTCCTTACCAGAATTTGAATATAAAGATTATTCCTCTATTAGATATAATCTCTCTTAGCAATTTATAAATACTAATAATATTTCTTAAGAATATATAGGAAAGTTATTCTATATTAGTAGACTCTTAATAGGGTAGAAAGTATATAAACTTTATAAGCCTATCTACAATAATAAATATGCTATTATAAGTACTTTAGTTATCGGGTCTTAAATAGCAGCAGTTTAGTAATATAGTCTATTGTAATAGATTTCCAAGGTCATTATGCTACTAGTAGTAGTTATAAGTATCTATAAGACTTATACTGTAGTAATTTTAACTTTTTATATAGATTATAGCCTTTAGTAATATCTAAGATAACTTTCTTCATTTAGGGGAATAAGTATATTATCCTCAATCTACTAAGGGTTCTATTAATACCCTAATATCTATATAGGGGATGTTTGTGTATTTCCCATACTAGCCGTCTTGCAGTTTGTCAGGGACCTGCAATTAGTCTATTTATTCTTCCTCAGGCAGTATATCGTTAAACTCCTGGATTTCTTTTAGCAGTAAGTTTTCTTATTCCACTATGTATATTACAGCGAGGGTCCTATTGGGTCCATAAAGCTCTTATTTTTCTTTTTCGTCAACAAATTGTACTTTCTTCATCGGGTTGTTATCTTATATTCGATTTATCTTGTTATACTCCATAATACTGTCTGTAGGTAGTTATTATTCTTAGATATTATATAGTTATAATAGAATCTTTTATAAGCTTAGCTTCTTATAAGCCTCTTGGTTTAGTAGCTTTTTATTCTTTCCTTCAGGAAGCTAGATACTAATTCCCAAGGTATAAATACCTACCTATAGTATATTAGTATCCATAGTAATAATTGAATTTATTGGGAATACTTTATTATTGTCATCGTAAAATAAGTATTTTTAGCGAATCTTCTTCTACTATTTCTTACTAGGCATCTCATACATATCGTGCTATTTCTCTGGATATTTCTAAAGGCATATAATATATCTCTACTTAAGATATCCTTCCGAAGTTAGCTTAAGAAGTTGCTTATTTTCCTTAATAATACCAGTATCGAAGTTAGGTCGTCGGCTAATAGCATTAGCTCTGCTATTCTCCAATTCCTTTTTATAGATAATAATATAATCAAATTCCAATAAGTATTCCACATAGCAAAGTTGCTTACTACTAAGCTCTTAAATAATAGCAAAGTATAAGATATTCTTATAGTTAGTATAGACCTTAATCTTATACTTACTTCCTAAGAGATAATATTAAAATTCTTTAAATAAGTTAATTATAGTAAGAAATTCTTTATTGTAGATGGGGTAATTAAGCTCTACTCTATATAGTTTGTATAAGTAAAAGGCAATTAGATGCAATTTTCTATTAATATCTCTTTATTTAATTTGAAATTCTAAATTAAAATTAAAGGAATCTATCTTAAATTCTATTTCTTTATTGGGGTTAAATATAACTAAGACTAGTTTGCTAAGAATTACATTCTTAATATTATTAAAAGCTTTTTATATTTTAATATTCTATTTAAAATCTACTTTTTTCTTTATAAATTCTATAAGAGTATATCTAATACTTTTAAAATTACAAATAAACTTTTAGTAGTAATTAGTAAATTCTAAGAAGCTCTATACTTCTTTAATTATAGTAGGTTTTAATTAATCTTTAATAGCTTTAATTTTCTTACAATCTATATAAATCTTATTTAGATAAATAATATATCTAAGAAAGTTTACTTTATTTATATAGAACTTGCTTTTTTCTAGTTTAATAAGGAGGTTTGCATCCTATAGTTTCTTAAGTACTATATAAATATATTTTATATATTCTTCTTTATATTAAAGAAAATAAAAATATTATTAAGATAACATATAATAAAAACATCAAGATATTCCCATAATATATTAGTAATTATCTATTAAAAAGTTGCTAGTATATTAGTAAGTTTAAAGAGTATAACTAGGTATTTAAAAAGTCCATACTTTATATAGAAAGCAGTTTTCTATTTATCTTCTAGCTTAATATAAATAAGATTATAAGCTCCTTTAAGGTTAAGAGCTATAAACTATCTTTTGCCATATAATCTATCTTTCAATTTATTAATAAGTAGTAATAATATTTAATTCTTAATAATAATATTATTAAGCTATTTATAATCTACAATTAGTTATAGTTTTTTATTCTTCTTGGAGATGAATATAACTAGGTATCCTACAGAGGACTTTAATATCCTAATAAATCCCTTTTTCAATATATCTTTAAGGTATTCTTTTAACATGTAGAGTTAAACTTTATTGAGGTTGTAAATCTTATAGAACTTAGCTATAATTCTATTTTTTAGCACTATCTTATAGTCCTATTAACCGTACTATAGTAGACCTATTTCCATTTCTTCGGCAAATAGTTTCTTATAGATATAGTAAGCAGGGGGCACGTTCTTAAGCCTGTTGTCTGCTTCCTTGTATTTCTTTATTTCTTGTAATTCTTCGTCGAGCTTTGTGAATTGTACTTATATACATGCAATGGTGCAGCATATCTTATTATTTTAAGCATTACAGTATTTATATCTAGTGCCTCGGGGTAGCGAAGTATCTATTGTATTATCGCGCATTACTTCGCTGGTGCTGTTATTAGTTGAAGTTTGAGATCTTGTATCGTCTGAATCCTATTTGTAGGAGGAATGATCATCAATATCGTCAAAGGTTATTTAGCCAGTCCTCTAATTGATTAGTGGGTTTACTTATTGCAGCTATAAGTAGCCTAGAACCAAATTGTATTATGCCGAGGGGATGATATTAAAAGAGATACCTTTATTACATTTATTTACAAAAACCTTAAGGTAATTAACTTCCCTGGTAATATATCTATTATCATAACTAAAACTTATTTCTTTGAGATTCTACACTTAGTATAAATTCAATTTATCCTTCTATAGTAGCTCCAACTCATTTACTACCCTTAGATAAAGATAGTTAAGTTCTACGCTACTATCTATTAGTGCGGCGTACTAGCATCTCTTGATTCATACCTGGATTTCCAAGCAATCCGTTCTTATGCTTCCTATAGCATATAGAGCTCTTTCTGGGAGTTCTACTTCTCCTAGCTCTTAGCCTATCTATTACTCCATTATAGAGGGCGAGGATGGTTTTTTATCTACATTCAAACCACCTTATATCATTCTCAGTCTTCAGCTTGTCTGCTAATTTATTATTAAAAATTAAATCTATTGTTATGCATTTTCTAAAAGCAATTATAGATGGTTTTCTTTTTTTAGTTATGTATTATATATCCTCTAATATTGCAATCTATTACAAATACTTCTTTATATATCTTATTAAGCATAGAGATAGGTATATGCTTCTTCTTCATTTTCTAAGAGTAAAGAGAGTCTTTTCTTATTTTATAGCAGTCTCTTTTGCTATATCCCTTCTTATATTTACACTTCTTACTTGATATTGTATTAGTTTTTTTTAGTTTAATTATTATCTTTTCTTATCTTATTATTCCAAGCTAGCTTTTAATTTCTTTTTGTTATATATTGTTATTAGATAATTTATTATATATAGCTTATCCTACTAAGAAGTATCTTTACTCTTCTTATACCTAGTGCCAAAAATATACCTTAGTCTTTATATAGATTCGGCATTTCTAGTATTAGTAATTCTAAGATCCTATAATTCTTATAAATACTACTATAGAAATCTATTCATCTTAGCTTTTAAGATAGTAATATAATACTTTAAGTAGCTATAGGTATTCTTATAGTATTCTATATTATTCTTTATATATAATTAGGTAATTAGGATTCCTAATAGCTTTAGGGGGTAATAATTATAAATCTATTTATCCTTTATATAGTAGTAGCATCATAGGTAGTAATATAAAATCTATAAGATCTAGTTATATCCTTTTATACTGGGGTAGAGAATAGAATTATCCCTAAACTCTCCTCTAGGTTCTACTATACAATCTTTAGCTTTATATCTTATTATTACATAAAGGTAGATGGGTTTATATTTTTTAGCATCTTGTCATTCCCATATAAGCTATTAGTATATAACTCCTTTAATTTCCTATTGTCATTTACCTTGCTTATTAAGCGTAACTTTATCCCACTATGGTTTTTCTGTGGCCATCTAACTTGTTTCTTCTGGGGTGCTGGGCATGTATTCCTCTGCATAGGGGTCTAGTCTTTCCTCGTTGCTAGAGTCAGGGTATTCATTCCTAATGTCGTAGTCTTCCAGCTGTCTGTCGGGGATGTCATTCTGGGTATCTGGTATTTCTAGTGTTCCTCTTCAGTAGGTTTCTGGCTCCTTTTCTCGTCGCACTATAGCTATGGTTCTTGTTATTTCTGCCGATAGTTGGACTATTATGGGTTCTAGCACCGGTGTCTATTCTCCCAAGTTCCTTTCCTTATTGGTTTTCAAGGTAGGTCCCTCTTGGTGAGATGCTTCTTCTTCTTCCTTGAACAAGTATCATTCTCGGCTGGGTAGGTACACAGGCCAGCTTGGACCGGAGCGTTCGTACGCGCCTCGGGTCATAGCGATCGTTCGCGTTCGTACCGCTGTTTCAGGTTCCTCCTGTCTCTGGATGGTGTTTAACGATCGTTGTCCAGTGGGCACAGGTTGGAATTGTCGTTCTTTCTTGGGCTTGCGGCATTCTCGTGCAAAATGTCCTTTCTTGTCGCAGTTGTAGCATATGACATCCTTCTTGTCTCGAGGCTGCTTCTGCACAGCTCCGAGTTCTATGGGTCCAGCATGCGTTCCCCAAGAGGTATTCCCGCGAGAGTTGCCCTGGTGGCCACCTCTCTGTCCTCTACCAGATCCTCGTTGATTGGGATAGTAAGGATTGTACGGGGTATCCCGACCTCTTTAGCGTATTACAGCCTTCTCCCTGCATCTTTCGTACTGTCGTTCGTTGATTTTAACGGCCATGGTGATATATTCTATAAGGGTGTCGGGTTGATTAGCTTTGTAGAGCTCGTCCTTAACCTCGTCTTTTAGCCCTTAGTAAAATATTTCCATGAGTACCTCATCCTCCCAGTCCAACTTAGAGGCAACTTGTTGGAGTGTGATGGCGTAGGCGGCAGTAGAGCGGATTTGTTTGAGTGTGTGAATCTTTGTAGCTGCCTATCTTTCTTCATTAACTATTCTAAATATATCTTTAAGGGCTATTTTAAAGTTTTCTCAATCTATAAATAGATTAATTGTATCTTAATCCTAATTAATTTTGTTATTATTAAGAAAGTTTTTAAGAATAAATTTAAACTAATTTTTAGTATTACTAGCTATTAAATTGCTTATAAATAATAATTATAATTTTATAGATACTAACTATTATAAATACTACTAGAAGTATCTTTTTATCTTAATAATAAAGAGTATAATATTACTAGGCATTTTATTAAACTTTTTAGATAGTAGTAATTTTATTATTTCTTTTAAGTTATATTTAATATTCATAGTAACTACTATTAATATATTTTATACTTATTGCTATAAAGTATAGACTAGGTTGCTTAGGTATTCTACTTTAGCAGCTATATTAATGTTATTTACTAGTATATTATAAGCTAGTAGCGTAGGTATATTACTTAGGGTAGTAGGAATTTAGTTAGTTCTAGATATTTTAATAATATAAGATATTACTTAATAGTTAATACAAGTAACTATTCTAAATAAGAGCTATTAATATATAATAGTTATATCTTCTAATCTGCTGTAAATGTAGTCTAGAGTAGGTAGAAGGTAGGTTACTAGTAGATAAACTATAGGTTTATATTAATAGAGCAATTAAAGCGTTACTTATAGAATAAATATTATATCTAGTAATAGTTAAATATAATAATATATAGTAAGTTAAGGTAATTGAGGTAATTAAGTTATATTAATAGCTAAGTAGCTATATATAGTAAATATATACTACTTAGTTAACTATATAATTACAGTAGAATATTAAATTATAAGAATTATCTAGTAATTCTAATAATTCTTATACCTTTAGATTAATATAATTATTTAATAATTAAGGTAATCTATATATAATAAGGTAGAATAAGTGGGTATATTATTAGTGTATATAATAAGATTGGAGTCTAGTTTAATATAGGTTGTAATATAGGGTCTGGCTTTAGAGTAATTATAAAAGGAAATTTATTAGATAGGTATATTATAGCTTAAATTAAGGCTTATTAGATTATAGAAGTCTCTTTAGTAATATTTCTAGTTATCTAACTAGAGATATAATATATTTCTAACTAGAATATTAATATCTATCTATAAAATTATAAACTTATTAAATTAAAATGCAATTTTACTAGACTATTAACTTGCCTATTATTTATTAAGTATAAAGTAATATCTAGACTGGTATAAAGAAGAGTAAATTTCTCTATAAATTTTATATCTTTAAAGTAAATAAATAAATAGAATATAAGTAACTAACTTAAGTAAATTTAATAATCTAAATAGAAGGCCCTAATAGCTTATTCTAAGAATACTTCTAGATATTAAATAAATAAATAAAAAGATAACTTAATTCTGCTATATATAAATAGTCTACTTTAGTTTCTCTATTCTCTATTTCTATCTTGCTATATATTAGCTAATTGCAAATACTATATAAAACCCTAATAGGCTAGTAATATATACAATATTAAGACGAGATTGTATATTAAATAGCAGCCTAGATTTATTAGAAAAATCAGCAATTAAGCTAATAACTTACTAATAAAAGCCAGTAAGTAATTATCTTATCTTAAAGCAGCAAAACCTAGTATAAATTTAGTATTAGGGGCAAGAACTACTAGATTTATAAGAACCTATAATAATCTTACTTAGTATAAAATTGGAACAGCTTGCTATTTTAGAATTTGTATAGATATATTACTTCTTAATAAAATATTCCATTTTAGTAACTATATACTTATACTTTAAGTACTTAATAGTAACAGTATTGAGTCGGGGCTTTCCAGTCTTTAGGGATAAAGGTCATCTAATTAGATACTTGCAGCTACTAGGGCTAGGATTAGTAGGTTCCTTCAACAGGAAATGCTACATCGAGTAGCACCAGTAGCCAGACCTACTGGCCATAAATTGAAAGGTCTCGACAGACCTTCTACAAAAGCAAGCACATCCTCCTAGATCTCATCTTTTTTAATTAATAGTCTTTTAACCTATTCTTTAGGGACCTATTGAAGGTCCATTTAATTAAATAGTATCAGCTGAAAAAGCTATCTACTTTGCCCAGCTATCAATTTATTCAACCCCAAACCTAACTCTTTCCGACCCTTCTAATAAATACTATCGCATTATTACAGCTCTATTTCTAGGCAGGTTATATATTCTTAGTATCCTCTACTTACTCCCTTATTTAATTTTTAGAGGTTACAGTAGGGCATAAGAAACTAGTAGAAGAAGCCAGTCTTCAACTAGAAATAAGAAGCATCTTAACTAAAAGAAGAATAGATGAACTAATCTCTAGAAGTAGCAGTATTTTTCAGCTGCTTTAAGAACTCTTTAATTTATAGTATTAACTACTAGCTATAGAGGTAATAGAAGATATAAGAATTATAAGGAAAGTTTTAACTTCTAATGTTAGGTATCGTAGAACTCTAATACTAACTATATATATATAATAGTTAACTGCTAAGTTTATATTAATAAACTGTTTAATTAGATAATAGAGAATAACCTAATATTAATAAAAACTAAATTAATAAGGTCTTTTTTATATAGAGAAGATAGAATTTTAAATAATAAAATATTATAGTAGTAAAGCTAATACTTCTTTTAGTATTTAAGTATAGATATATTCTAGTAAAGTATTATAAGAAAAAAAAAGTTAATTTTAAATAATATCTTAAATTAAAATTAAATAATTAAGAAGTTAATTAATAAGCTAAGTAGCTTCTAGCTTAATATTAGCTATTAAGATTCTTAATAGTAATTTAACTAGTAGGGGAGATAATTAACTAGATATAAAAGGATATTACTATAAGTAAGTTATAATTTTTCTTATAATTAGGCTTTAGTTTATTATAAAAAATTAAGTAATTATAATTATAGTAGTTAGATTATACTATTAGTAGGAATATAAAGAGTACTAAATATAGCTTTTTATTTTAAAAATAATATATATAATAATAAGACTTTTTTAATAATAATAACTACTTATTATCTTCTTTTTCTATACCCTCTTTTATAAATCTTTAAGACTTTTTAATAATTTTTCTATAAATTTAATATTATTATCTTAAAAGGCTACTATAAAACCTACCTACCTACTAGAGATCTTATAATAATTATAGATTTTTAGTAGTAAAAGAGTTAAGTATAAGCCTATTTAATATTACTTATAATAATAATAACCTTATCAGTTAAATTAGAAAACTCTAAGAATATTCTATTTAATCTATTTTTATCTTCTTAAATTATACTAAAGATATTACTATACTTAGTAACTCTACTAGATTATTTAATTAGATAGATATAAATAATATAGCCCTCAGCTAGGCAGCTAAAACTTTAGCTAGATTAAATTAGTATAAGAAAAATATAAAGAAGATCTTAATATAATTTTAATTCTAGCTACTAAGTATATTAAAACTTAGCTTTATAGGTTCTTTTAATAATAAATTTAATAGCTATAATATTATAAGATTTCTATAGTATTATAACTATTATATAGATAGTTAATATATAAAAAGATAACTAAAATAACTATATTAACTTCTATATAATAGGGACTATTATTTATAAGTTAGAAGGTATATAAAGTTACTACCTTAAAAGTAAGCTTAAGTAAACCTTTTAAATAAGTTTAAATACTAAAATAAGAATAAAAGTAGTTATTTAATAACTAGCTCTTTATAAAAAATATAGAATAGTTAGTAAAGATTATACTATTATTATAGACTAGCTTAATAATTATATATTTCTTTATAAAAAGATTAACCAAATTATTAGAAATAGTTAGTTACTAATTAAAGTAATTTTTAATATTATACCTATTAGTATTTAATAAAGCCTCTATAAGAGCCTAGATAAGTTACTAAAGCTATTAATTTATAAAATACCTCTTTCTATATAAGAAAATTAAGTCTTTTATTAATAAATATATTAATATTTAAGCTAGAAGTATTTTATATTAACTTCTTCTTTTAAAGCCTAAACTTATAGAAACTAGAGGAATACTTAAATAAACTAAGCTCTCTAATAATACCCCCTTCTATAATTCTTAAAAAAGGTAAGATAAGACTGCTAGGATTAATTAGATAACCCAGCTTATTTAAGGATTAAATAGCTAAAGATTAATATATCCCAGGTAATAAGTAAGCAATTTAAATATAGAAGAAATTAACTACTATCTAATAAGAAATAAAATACCTTAATAAGATAAGGGTTAAATATATATTAATATTATTTAATTACTTAGTAAATAATAAGAATATTTATATAAATATCTTTATAGGTAGCTGTAGCTATTTTTATTATAGTAAGATTAGGTATAATATAAAGTTATATTTTAATTTTAATTTAATTAGAAGAATAGCTATACTAACTATAATATCTATAGTAGTTATACTAAATTAAAAGGACTAAGAATTAACTGATTCTACTTATTCTAGTAGTCTAATTCCGCTGAGAATTATATATTTAAAGACTTATTATCTTCTAGATTAAGAGATTCCAAGCTTAATAAAGTTTCTTTATATAAAAAAGATAAAGAAATATTAAACTCCTAAGAGCTATATAGCTAAAAAGAATAAAAAACACCTAATTAATAAGTTTATAAAAAGAAATATAGATTATCTATATAAGCTTCTACTAATAATTAGCTTTAATGCTCCTTAAGAGGCCTTATTATATAAAGAAGTATATTATAAAAACAGTCTGCTATTAATATTATATAAATAAATACAACTAAAAAACTA